CAGTCAAGATACATATCCTTTTCCTCAACCTGAAAGAGCCTTCCTTTACCCTTACAGTCAGTTCTTCCCTCCACCCCCCAGCTGCAAGCAACCACTTACCTGATTTTTGTCACCATAGCTTAGTTTTCATTTATAAAAAGGGACTCATATCATACTGCCATCTTTTGTGCCTAGCATTTCTCTCAGCAAAATTATTTTGATATTTTGATATTCACCTATATTGTTGGGTATATCTTTAGTTTATTCCTCCCTGTTGTTAAGTATATTCCACCGAGTAGGTAACATTTACTTTCTAATTTTTTGGTTGACCTGAGGATGAATATTTTGGTTATTTCCTTTCTCGAGTATTGCAAATTAAAATATTATGAACACTTATGTTTACGTCTTTGAATGTACATCTGGTTGTATTGCCTTGTGTAAGTATCTGGGAGTGAAATGGATGAGTCATATGGCCAGCATAGTACTAAACTTATGACAAATTATTTGTCAGTTTTTATCATTTTATATTCTCACCAGCAGTTTATGAGATTGTAAGTTGCTGCACATTACAACCAACACTTGCTCTTGTTGGTCTTTTTAATTTTATCTGTTTTTATGGGTAACTCATTGTGTTTTAGTTTGCGTTTTTTTTCAAACTGATACCAAATTGTTCCAGTGCCATTTTTTGAAAATACATCTTTTCCCCCATTGAATTGGCTTGACATCTTTGTTGAAAATTATTTCACCATATATGTTTAGGTCTATTTCTGGATACTCCATTATGTTTCATTGATCTATACATCTATCCTTAGGCCAATACTGTATTGTTTTGATTATTACAGTGTTACTGTAATTTTCAAAGTCTTGTAGTATTAAGTCTTCTATACTTTCTTTTATTTAACATTGCTTTTATTATTCTAGGTTATTTGTATGTCTATATATTTTAAAATCAACTTGTCAATTTCTATAAAAGAACTTTCTAGACTTTTTTGATATTGCATTGAATTTATAGATCACTTTGGAGAGATTTTACATCTTAATATTGATTTTTCTAATCCATGAATGTATTAAATCTCTCCATTTATTTAGGATTTTGATTTTTCTCATTCTCTGTAATATAGAGTATAATGGTCTTGCACAAATCTTAAGNATGTAAAATGAAGTTGATTTTCTACATTAACCTTATACATTAAGGAAATTAAGAGAAAAATCATTATTTTTGTATTGAACCATATATTTATTTATATTAATCTTTCGTATTGCCAAAGATCTGAGTTTTCCTCTAATATCAATTCTCTTATAGCCCAAAGAATTTTTCATTTTCTATACTTTTACTTTCACTGAAAAAGCTCTAGTTTTTAAACTCTATTCTATTTTTACTTAATAAATAATTAATACTTCACAATTAGTTTTTCCTTTATAAACTTTAAATATGTTTATGATGTTATATTCACCATAATTTGAATCAATTCACCTGTATGTGAAGTGTTTTTATTCCTGGATGCTTTCAAGATGGTCCCCATATCTTTGGCTTTCAGCAGTTTGACTATGATGATGTACTTAGGTATGAGTCTTTTATTTTGTTTGGGGCTTGCTGATCTTTTTGAATCTAAAAATATATGTCTTTCAACAGATTTGGACATTTTAGTTAACTTTTTCTTCAAAAAATTTCTGCCCCAAACTAGCTCCTTTCTTTCTGGGACTCTACCTATGTGTTAGACCTTTTGAAATTACCCACGGGTCTCTGAGGCCCCGTTTATATTTTTCTACAATCTTTTTTCTCTCTTCTACAAATGGGATGATGTCTGTTGGGTCTATATTCAGTTTCATTTAGATTCTTTTGTTATCTCCATTTTGCTACTTAGTATTTTCCAAGAAATTTATATTTCAGATCTGTTATTTTTCAATTCTAATATTTTTGCTTTGTTCCTTTTTATATTTTTCTGTTTTGATGCTGAGACTTACCTTTTATTTCTTGCAAGTGTATTTTTCTTTATCTCAGTGAGCATAGTTATAATAACTGTATTAAGAGTTCATGTCTGATAATTGACAAAATCTGGTCATTTTAGGGTTGACATCTGACTTTCAAAATGGGTCGTTGTATCTGTTTTTTTGTATATGAAATGATTTTGAATTGGATTTGGGACATGATGAGTGCATGTAAATTTTGCTATAGTGTTTTAAATAGTGTTGGTGTTTTGTTTAGCAGAAAATTAACATAGACTCAAAGTCAGTAGTTCCAATGGCTCAGATTGTAGTTTAGCTCTTTAAAACTTTAAATCCTAATTGCTTTCAGTTTGCCCATATGTGAATACAAATGTCAGCAATTCAGGTTTTAGGAATTCGTCTTCACTGGACTTTTACTCTCCAGAAATCCTAGGGTTTTTAGGTTCTCTCTCTGTATTCAGCTGCCAAAAAGATGCTGTTTGTTTGTTTTTTCCTTTCGTGTTTTAGCCACCCCATGCCCAGTATTGCTGCTGTGGTTGCTTTTTGTGTAGAACAGCTAAAAAAGAATGTTCCCACTGGTCACATGCTTCAAGTTTCAATTCCCCTTCAAAAGATGCTTGTTCAGCTTCCATCTCCAGTGCCCTCAGGTAGTTGGTTTTTGAGGGCTAATCAGTCTTATTGGTCGGAAGATCAATTTATTAGAAGCTTACTCCTCTATGCTGGAAGGAGAATCCTGCTATACAATTGATGATAAAGTCACAAGAGCTCCATTTTGTACACATTTTCAGCTCTTTTGCAATCAAACATCCTTTATAAACTGTTATTCCAATAAAATAATGAAGTTGAGAAAATTATTTTCTCTGAGATATTTTATGTGCATGCAAATTGTACCATAGTTTAAGTATTTCCTGCTCTCCCTTTCCTCTGAACCATCACCTATGGGAAGATTATCAACATCAGTCTTAGCCAATGACACACGGGAAGAAATTGTTTGGAGGACTGTCCAACAAAAAAGTAGAGATATTTCTTAGCCCTACCACTTTTCTTGCTGCAATAGAACAATTATATCCCACTCTGAATTGCACATGAACATGAGTGTCAAGTAAATCTTTGTTTCTTTAAGCCTAAGATTTTGGAGTCATCTGTTACCATAACCTAAAGGCCTAAGTTAACTGATACAGACAACGTGCATAATGTTGCCTATAACATATAGCATATATGAATATAAGACTGAAAAAAAGAAAATGAACATAAAGTTCCTCATTGTATATATTAATAACACAATTCTCAGTAATAACAAAAAACACTGGTTTTACTAAGTAAGTTCATGTTTCTTCAGATGAAGAGGCATAAAGTAGTGGTCAAAACTCTTAAGCATGAGACAAGTCAAATTTGGTCCCTTGTTTAGGCACTAACTCATGGTATTACCCTTAAAAGACACCTGTTTACTTTTTGATGTCCCCATTTGTATAAAATCGCTACTTGCATAACCTCTGAGGATCTGCTAGCTCTAACAAATTTAAGATCTGATGGCTAGTAGCAAACAAAGCTCATAGTCACCACTGCAGAGTGTCTCTGCAGTGGGCTACTCGGAACAGTGAGTACTGTGAGGGCTCTGTCACAGGAGAAGAGCATTGTCTATGAAAAAAATGATCTGGCATTTTAACTCCCATACAAAGACATTCATTTCTACTTAAAAATGCTGTGATACTCTTGTGAAACAGTTATTAGTTTCAAAATATATACACGCATACAAGGATGAGAAAACTGCTCAGTATACCCAAGGAGGTTGTGTTCTAGACAAAGCTCATCCGAGGCAAACACTGAGGTGATTTTTCCCTACAGACTGTTTCCTGTAATGAAAACTCCTACAGATTAGAGACAAGCAAAGCCATAGGAGATCATCAGCCTACATATAACATGAATAAGAAAGCTTATTATTATAAACCATTGAGGTTTTGGTGCTGTTTGTTACACAACAGAGCTAACAGTTATACAAAAAGTGGTTCCAGAAATGGGTGCTGCCTTAACAAAATATCCCAAGCTATGTTATTAGGAATGTGTAGCTGGCCAGTGATGAAACTTTTTTTGGTAGATGGAAAAAAAGGTCAATCGATATCAGCAGTGGTAAACACTGGGTACATTGAAGGTATTGAGAAGTTGGAAGGCTAACCATGTGCCTAAAAACTTGTGGATTTAAGGGAATAAATTTTGTGGTACAAAATTTCACTGCAGTTTTTGTTCATTAGCTGCACTAGGCAAGTAATATGAGACAAGTACTACTATATGTGCTTAGAAAGAATTGACCCATTTCTAAGCAGGGACATGAAGAAAAAAAAAAAGAATCCAGAAATTCTCAGTCTTACAGGGCTGAATTTGCAACTCTTGCTCATGTCCAATATAGGTAAAAGAACCAGAGAAATTATTCAAAGACTCAGACTCAATCTTAAGGCACAATCAAATCAAGGATATGGCCATGATTCCCTTTGCTATGATATATCTACAGATTAATATGGGCCCCAACATATACTTTTAGTTAGACATAAAAGGCTCAAGAAGAAAACTTAAAAGGTATCCCAAAGAAATCTCTGGTGTACGGAGATACAGTCCTGGAGAAGTATTGTGGGTGTGGATGATAGCACAAGTAGGTGACTAAAATCAAACATGAATTAAAAGTTGTTGGGATGATTTGTGATGTGAAACAATCATTGGTTTTCAAAATCTCTATATGGATATAGTAGGCTGAGAAAACTGCTCAGTTTCCAAGGAGGTCATGTTATTCATGGTTTTCTTCAAATTTAGACCAGGGGGATAATGGAAAACAAAGGAACTGTCAAGGGCAGAATAAGGACTCGTGGAGAATAATGAACTGTGGAGTCAGTTATAGAAAGTGAGATAAGGACCCAATCAAGTCACATTATCAACCTTCAGGGTAATACATTTAATATTTACCTGATGGAATTTAAGAATTTCTGAAGCCCTGTGGCTTTTGGGTGCTTTCTCTTCTCCTCTTTGCAAAATGGGGTGTGTATTGGTGTGTGCCAGATTAGAAAATTTACCTTTTTAATTTGCAGGTCTCAAGACCAAGGGGAACTATATCTGGATCTGACTTAAAGACTGTCATGAGATCCTGAACTTTAAGGCTGAGAACATGATGGGACGGGATTTTAAGGTATCTTCTTTGGGGAAACACATAGAATATTTTAAGTGCATAAATATTTGTGGTCAAGAGTGAAGTCTTTGATCAATCACATTATTTTTCACCCTCATTAACTGCTCTGGAGAGAAATGGATTATACTTGCTCACCAATTACTGTGTTAATTTCCAATACCTCCTGTGGGAGAAGTTTATATTCCCAACACACTGAGATTTAGTTAATTGTTTATGAGCAAATATGATGTACTGTATTACCTGTATTACCTAATCAGAAGCTCTTAGAGGCATCCCAGGTTCCTGCCCTTCCTTTTGCTGTTTGGTCTCCTGTCATGGGGATATACATGGCCCACTTGAGAGATAAATCTTCAGCCTGGATCCCAGGATAAGAAAACCTGGAGGGGATAGATGAAGTATAGCCACAGACTGAGCGAAGCCACAGATGAACCACAGCCCACATGCCAGTGTAAAGATAAATAAACATTTGGTTTTGCAAAAGCTATAAAAAGAAAATGCTCCTACCAGAAAACCACTGCATCACCCCTTGTATTTCAATAGAAAGCAAGATTCTTTTAAAGGAAGGGAGTTTGTCCTATTTGAAAAATACATGCACATACTTATAATTGGTACTACAATTCAGGATACATGTCAGGTTAGATTCTCTGTAGAAGCAGAAAACAGGATTCTACCTGTCAATCTTATATTCAGTACTGCAAGAAAAACTTTTTGTAAATTAGTCTCCCTGGGCTTGAAAGTCTTCATCTATCAAACAGAAATATATACCCTGTCCTATGATCTTTGAGGATTTTTTGAAAATCCAAAAATGTAAGAAGTGTCAAAGACTTTAAGACTTTTTCTAAGACTTAAATTAATATGAAAATTTTGTTGTATGAAATTGAAAATATACACTCTTAAATAACACTGATACAAGGAAAGACTATTCTGTCTTTGAAAATGAAACCATTTTCAGTTAATGTAGACAATGTGTTTGTTGCACACATGTTCAAATATACAATTTCCACGAGATGATCACAGAGAAAAACATGTATTTGCATAAATAAAACCCTGAGGTTCTGTGCACTCATTAGCACAGGCCTTCAAGAGAGAACAATTAAATGTAAACAATAAATCTGTGGATATTGAGCATCTTTAGATATAGTAGAAATTGCTATTCTTGTAAAGATTGTTTGCTAAAATTGTTCAGTGATTCTGGAGACCAAAATTGTAGTTTTCATCATTTTCTGAATATGAGTTTTGCTTTTTTGGAGAAAAAATATTGTAACAGAGGTAAATAAATTATTCTTAAATTCTTTACCAATAACACTTTATAAGCAATTACAATGAAGAGGGACTATTTTATTGAAGTCTTCATTATATTACATCATGTGCGAGAGGATGACTCATTGGAAGTGATGAGAAGTGAATCTTGGTATGTACTGAATTCTGAGCCAATGCAGGCATTTACATGCAATGGCATTGAGGTTTTGAAGGCAGATGTACAAATCTGGATGCAGTATATTGGCCTACTATATATTTTTGTGATGAGAAAATAGGAACTATGGTGGTGTTCTTCTAATCAGGTAATAATTTCCTTCACTGTAAGTTATTAGTACAACTCATCTAAACCGTGTTTATCAAATGACTGGTATGTCAGGTGTTCTGCTAGCTGCTGGGGTATGTTGAAGGATTCAATTTCTTGTCAAGGAAAAATTACCATTCCTCCGTGGATCTTAAACTCTCATGGTGGATGACAGATATTAATTTTAAAAATCACATTAATGCATGTGATTACATATGCAATAAGACAATGAAGAAGTACAAGATGCTTTGGAAACATTTAACAGAGTATCTGGTCTGATATATGGATGAACTTGAGATTTTTTCCTGAAGCAATGATATGTGAAATGAGACTTGAAAGATGTATAGAAGTTGAGCTGGTAAAGACTGGAGGAAAGAAATGAACTTCTCAACAGAAACAATAGCACAGGTGGAAAGTTGGAGATGGTAAAGGACTCGGTGTCTGAAGAAGAGTGAATGTGTCTGTAGGATCACTGGTGAGGGTGGAACAGGAAACAAGAAAAGTAGGTTGAAATGAGAGTGGAGAGTTAGTCAGGGGCTAGCTCTTGCAGGGCCTTTAGGTGAGGCAGAGAATTTAGATTGCATTGTATTTCATTTGCAACTGCAATGAGGAACAGGTATAAAACTTGGGAAATATTTCAGACAAAGAAAATCATCTGTGCAAAGTCCCAAGGGTGTGACAAAGCATGATCTGAATGTGCAGCGTCCCAATGCATGAAACAGGAGGGAGAGGAGTTATATGGGTAAAGATGAGTGCAGGTGTTAAGTGGGACCACATCATGTAGGGCTTTGTAATCCATTTTAGGGAGGTCCAGGCTTTAATCATAGGCAATGGGAAGACTATGGAGAATTCGAGCATGTTCTGTCATGCTAATGGCCTCATCTTTCATTCATTTTAATGTCACTTGTTGCAGTGGACTGTGCATGATAGGAAGAAGAGAGCTGAGGGAAGGAGGCTAAGCAAGTTGGTAGAATGATCTAAGAATCTAGACACCATTTTAAAAAGGCATCATAGTTATTGAGCATTGTTACTTGAAGTGTAGAAACACTTGGGGGTAGATAACCTTCTAATAGGTATAGAGGCTTTATTAAAATATTATATTTGAACTTATTTCAAATATATTTGAAGGTATCTCATATTTGCTTTGAAGGCAATTCTAGAGTTAATGAGAAGTCTAATTCAAATTATGTATTTTTAACTTTTAAGAAGGCACTTTTGTTCACTGCTTAATTCCATTGTACCTGTCAAAACAATTCTATGCTCCTAATGTCTTCCTTAAACTTGTAGGAGCTGTTGGACTTCTGGTATCTTCTAATCTCAGCACATTATGAATTTATTTCTTTTTGCATTTTGTTGCTGTCATATTATTGGGTTTCTGAATCTAAAGGAACAAATTAATTTCTGCATTAAAATGTTGCTGCATTGGACCGTCAGAACTTTAGCTAGTATCATACCGAAATTATTTGATTTCCAAATATTTTTTAATATCGTATAGAGTAAATCACAGTTTAGCTTTTTATTAAAAAGGAAATTATTATAAGAAGTGACCTACAAAATGCTAGAGCAGAAAATAACTCAGAAGATATCAAGTCCATAAAATCTAAATGAAAATTTGAGGGAGAGGAATGAAAATAAGTTATTCAAGAAAACAGATGTGATTACCACATTGAGTAACCTTTTAATCCAACTTCTCCACCTTCTATCACATTGCAGAGATTGAACTAAATTTTAAAAGTATTTGCCTGTCCTTGATTAGGTAAGTTCATTAATAATAAGTATAGGATACTAGAACTCAGTTTTTTTCTTTTTTACCTAATTTCATGAGTTTCTTGAAATTATTTTCTAGAACTCAGAATCCATATTCCCAATTCAGAAAGGATGATTTTGAAATAGTAATATTCAGGCAACATTATCGTGGGACCAATGAACTAACCATCTGGCTCAGAGAAAGTCCTGGGTTGGTAGGAAGGGTGGATAAAATGTAGGGGTGGGTTCTCTTTTACTTTTTAGTATTGAAGAGAATCATTTCTTTTGCAAATATTTTTATAAGCTACAAACAGTTATTCACTCCCTAAGCAAATAAAGCAGTAATGAAGAGAATCATTTCTTTTGCAAATATTTTTATAAGCTACAAACAGTTATTCACTCCCTAAGCAAATAAAGCAGTAAATTTCAGCTGAGGGGTGAGGAGGGAAGCAAGAGGGTATGAGGAACACAGGAGTGTAGCACTGGAGAAGCTCCCTCTGCACAAGGATAACCTGAAAAGTGTGACATTTCCCACTTCCTGTTATCTATGTTTCTTCAATATTGGAACAAGCCATAAATCTACACACACACACATGTATATTTAAATGGACTTTGTAGCTGGTCCATTCACACATCTTTTGACTCTAGTCCTGATTTCTTTTTCATTACCAAGGAGCAGACTGCTACCCTAGCAACCCAAGTGTCAGATCTCACATGCAAACACCTGCAGTCTTCAAGGAGATCACACTATATTCCTTGTAGATAATAATGTGATCAGAAAAGACGATTTCTCCAAGTATGTTTTTACTGGAAGTATACACTTGAGGGGGCAGAATAAAACAACCAAAGGTTGTAGGTAAGGAAAACTTAACCTTTATGAGTTAATTGGGAGCTAATACATGTTTATTTGCTGAGTTTTTATTGCACAACTTGTTGGTATAAATATGTGCCTACATATATACATATACATATATCCCAATTCTTATACAAACAGTAGCATATTATGCAAATTTTCTCCACCGTTCTTCCTTCTTCCTTCACTTCTCAAGATATCCTAGAGATCTTGTCATAGAAGCATATAAAGATATCCTTTATTACCTTTTAAAACTGGAATGCATGATTTTTTAAAGGTTTCCTTCAAGCTCTGGGATTTTATTTAGGATCATGGAAAAAAACTGCCTCTATTATTGTTTGTGCTGTATCTGTTCCCTCTAAGCTTGTTTTTACAGTTAACCACTTTATTCAGCAGTTTCTTGCAAAGAACGCATAAAAAAAAAACAGGAAGTGGGAGGCCTGGCTCCTGAAATCTCTGCATTTGCTCCTTTTGTCATCAGGACATAATGCTCTGGAGAATGTTTTTGTTTTTATTTTAGCCAATTATTTAAAGGTCAAAATAAGTGTCTTGTCCTCTGTTGCACAAATCTCAGTTCAGTTTCTAAGTCTTTGCTTCGCTGAACTGTGAGTCCCGTGCATGTGCTTCCCGGCGTCAGACCCAGAACAGGGCGGCGGCAGGGTTTGATACCCAGGATTGGGGTCTCCCCTTTACTAGGTCTGGGGAAAATCCAGTCACCTCTGGGATGTTCCTTTCATTCTCTTGCCCACAGGTGCTCCTTTTTCTTGGTTTCCCTGGCTAGGAAGTTGTCAAGATTCTGTTTTGAGTTTTGCTCTGGTGCCACCAAATGGCTCTATGCCG